CTTCCTTCCGAGGAGTGGCTGGTGGGTTTGAACCGCCAGCCTTCTGGTTAGCAGTCAAGTGCCTTAGGCACTATGCTACCAGAGCTCCTAACTATTATTATAGTATTATTATTATAGTACTATCTATTTCTCCCTTCAATTGTATCAGTGCTTGCTTTATACATTAAGATGTGAATTTTGGGTGCATATAGTTTATGACTGTTAAATTTTCTTGATTAGTTGACCCTTTTATCACTATATAATGTCAATCTTTATCTCTTCTAAAAGATTTTGTTTCAAAGTCTACTTTGTCTGATATTAAGCTCATCACCCCAGTTCTTTTTTGGTTATTATTTGCATGGAATATCTCTTTCAATTTCCACTTATTTGTGTCCTTGGGGTTGAAGTGTGTCTCTTGTAAATAGCACAGAGTTAGATCATGGTTTTCTTTTTCCTTTTTAAATCCATTCTGCCACTTTCTGTCTTTTGATTGGAGCATTTAGTCCATTTACATTCACTATAATTACTGGTAAGGATTGACTTCTGCCATTTTGTTATTTGTTGTGTGTCTTAAGCCTTCTTTGTCTTTATCCTTTGTGCTTTTATGTTTTGCTGGTTTATTACAGTAGGCCTTTTTGGTTCCCTTCTCCTTTCCTTTTGTATGTCTTTTATGTATTTTCTTGGGGTCACCATAAATATCATATTCACCAGCTTGTATTTATAACATTCTTGAGACTTTGTTCATGTTGCTCTTCAGCCTCTGTAATTTTAACTCTCTTATCTTCTAATTCACTGACTCTTTCTTCTACCTGATTAAATGTGTTGGTACCAACTTAACTCTAGTAACATACAAAAAATTCTGTATCTACACCATTCTTGTCCCTCCTTTTGTTGTTATCACTAATTATATCTTTATATTTCATTTGCCTTGTAACTTTTTGTAGCCTAGCTTTTTATATATTTGCTATTAGAAAACATGAAGGACAAAACATTTTGAATTATCAAGCATGAATACCTTATTTACCAGACTTTATACTTGTTCATGCATTTCTCTTTATTAAGGATCTTTTTTATGTGTAGAATTACTTCCTAGTGTCTCTTCCCTTCCACCTACAGAACTACCATTAGTATTTTTTGTGGGGCTGGTCTGGTGGACATGAACTCTCTCAGCTTGCAAAGCTGGAAAAGGCAAGGAAATGGATTTTCCACTAGAGCCTCCGGAAGGAAATGTAGCCCTGGCCACACTTTGATTTTAAACCAGTGAGAGTTATGTTAGACTTCTGTGGTAGTTAAGGTTATGTGCCAACTTGGCTAGGCTTGGTTTTGAGTGGCTGGGTAGCAGGATATAGTTTTTCCCCATGGTGAGACTGGTAATCAATTTCATAGTGGAATCTACTGGAGCAGCTGAGTAGCTGCTTTAGGGCCGTGGTCTGCTCCTAGTATATAAAAAGATGCTTTGAGAAAGGTCTGGAAATTTTGGGCACACTTGGATCCTGCATGTAGCCTAGTCTTCATTCTGTAGCCTGCCATGTTGTCTGCCAATCTCAGGATTGTTCCTGGACTTGATGATCTTAGGACTGCGCCATTACTTGTCAACTCTAGGCTTGTTAGCCTCAGCAGCCAGCAGCCGCCTAAGTGAAGAGACACCTGCAGCTCCAGTGGGCTGGGAGCAAGAGGCAGAGCTGAAACCAAGGTTGAGGGACTTTCACTCAGCCCCTAGAGCTGGCACTTTGAACCCAGACTTCTAGCCTTCTAAGCTGCAGGAGAATAAATCTGTTTGTTAAAAACTCATTTGTGGTATTTTCTGTTAAAGTGGTACTAGAAATCCAAAACAATGTCTAATCTAAAAAAATGTAAGATAAAAAATTTGCGTTGTTTCAGATCACTAAATTTATAATAGCTTGTTATAGCAGCAATAGAAAATTATTATAGATCCCAAAGTGATGGTAATAAGGACAAAAAACAGCAGAACTACAAATGTTTCAGATCAATTAGATGAACTAAGCAAGCAACGATATAGGTATTTCCAGCAAGTTCTTGTTTTGGTTACTTTCCATGCCACTCTAACAGACATATACCACAACTGGGTGGCTTTAACAAAGAGGAGTTTATTCTCTTACAGCTTTGGAGTCTAGAAGTCTCAGTTCAAAGTGCCAGGCTCTAGGGGCTGGGTGAAAGCCCCTTGACCTTGGGCTTCAGCTCTGCCTCTTGCTCTCGGCCCAGGGAGCTGGAGGTTTTCTTCACTCAGGTAGCTGTTGGCTGCTGAGGCTGGCAAACTCAAGGTCAAAAAAGTAAAAAGGCACAGTCCCAATATTACCAAACCATATGGCAGGCCATTGATTCAAGTCCATTAAGAGTCACAAGATTGGCAGACAACATGGCAGCCTGCTAAAGGAAGACTCGGCTGCATGGAAGAGTCAAGTGTGCCAAAAGCTACAGACCTTTCTCAATACTCTTTCTTATATACTGGAAGTAGCACATCCCTAAGGCAGGTACTCAGCTGCTCTAGTAGATTCCACCATGGAGTTGATTACCAATCTTACCATGGGGAATAACTACATCCAGCTGCCCAGATACTCAAAACTAGGCCCAGCCAAGCTGACACACAATCTTAACTACCACAGTTCTCTTTTGCATTGATAATGATAAAACTAAACATAAAGTAAAACTATAGGTGCTGGTTCAAAGAATTTTACTGACGTATACTTCAAACGTCATAATTTTTTGCCTTTGTTACATTTTTCCTTTCTGGTTGACAATGATATAGTGGCTATAAATATAATAATCTCTGTATTAAGTTATGATATGAATTTTTTAAATACATAAACTTTTTCAAGATACATAAACTTAGAGTAACAATTATACTTATTTATCATATGCAAAATACCAAAGAAATATTATCAGCTATTTCTTGGATTTTCTTTAGATGGGATAATGGTTTGATAGCTGTACACACAGGGTATTAACACATCTGTCTTTTTGTATATTTAACAATTACTTATGGGAAGCAAGAAAACGCCCTACTATCAGAGTAGCTTTATTTTTGTGAATTGAAAATAGTTTATTCAAAACGTAAAAATAGTCTGTGTTCACCTGTGGTTAAAGGCAGGTGTGTGATGCTGTTCAAACAGGTCAGGGTGAACCACGTGGATGATAGTGTAGCCCCAGAAAACAGGAGGAGAAGAATTAGTTTCAGCATACCCCTGATAAAATCGGCAAACCTGAAAAGAAACAACGATCTATTAATTCTAGGTGGGTTTTTTCACACTATTTAAAGCAGTGACATACTTTGATTTAACAACAATTACTTGAATGATCTTCTATTCATTCTTTTAAAAGCAAGGTTTTTGTTTGTTTGTTTTTAAGAATTGTTTTGTGATTTCTTTTGTTTCTCTCACACACAGGATGGATTCTGAGTTTTAAAATTCCACTTTTATTTTCAAATATTCTATAATTAGCACACATTACTTCTATTTAGAAAATGGGTTACTTTGTTCACATAAATTTGTAAATATGGCTCTCTCAAAACTCAAACTCACTTAGAACAAACAGAAATGCCTACACCAGAGCTCTGAATGCCCAAGATGATCTGGCCTCTGCCCTGACTCTCCCTGTGCCTTACTATGCTCCAATGGGCAGACCTGTTTCTGTTTCTTATATATGCTAAGGCCAGTTCCCACAGCAATATATGGTTTTTGTACTTGTCCCATCCATCTGGGACACAGGCACTCCCAGATCTTCACATAACCTATTATTCCTGCTGATCCTTTAGGTCACTCAGGTCTCAGTTCAAATTTGCCCCTCAAAGAGGATTCCCATGTTCACCCAATCTAAAGAAGCCCTCTCTATCCCATCTCCACACTGTTTTATTTCCTTCATAGCATTTATCTGTACTGGAAATTATCTTGTTTTGTCATTTATTTACTTATTACTTTTTTTTTTTTACTTCTCTACCTGTTCGCTTCATACAAGCAAAAATGTAGCATCTAGAATAGTGAATAGCCAAAAACTTACCACCATTGAGTCAATTCTGACTCACAGTGACCCTATCAGACAAAATAGAACTGCCCCATAGGGTTTCCAAGGCTGTATGTATCTCACAGAAGCAGACTGCTTCATCTTTTCTCTGTGGAATTGCTGGTGGGTTTGAACTGCTGACCTTTCTTAACAGCCAAGTGCTTTAATTACTGAACTACCTGGGTTCTGGAATAGTAAACACTATTCTACAAAACTTGTAACTAAAGTTTTATAGCAATCTATATACTCAAAATTCCTTCCTTTTCCTGAGTTAACATTAAACTAAAAGGCATTTGGTAGAGATGCTTATCCTTTATTACAATCAAAATGTTTCCATTGGCCAATTGCTTTTCCTCATCTGCTGATTAATGTTGATTGCATAGGCACCTCCCTCTGGTGATGTCTAAAAACAGTTTACTCCATCTTTCAGAATTGTTCCTATTGCATAAAAACTGATCTCACCCTTATTAATGCTGGAATGCAATATGACAGATGCAGAGTGTCTGTATTTTCCTCTGGCGGTTCTCAGTGACTGCATTCTCTGTGCACTGAGACGTAGGTGTGTTTGTTCTCTGTAAGCTTCAATCCTATGATTGTCAAAAGCATGGTGTTCACTTTCTTCTTCTTTTTAACAATGAACTGAAGTTTTATTAAAACTGGGTTTCAAGTTAAAATACTGTGAAATATTGATTTTCTACCCTCCACCCACATAAAATATGTTAGTCAATTTAAGTACAAAAGAAAACAGTTCATGTAAGAAAACATTGCTTAAATGTCTTGGGATTTCCAGCTGTTTTATACATATATATGTGTGTGTGTTTGTGTTCGTGTGTGTGTGTCTATATGTGCTTTCATTTTTTATTTTGTTTGCTCTCTACCTGTGTTAACAGTATTTTCACCACTGGAAGGTGAACTTTTTTCCTAGCTTTTAAAAAAATGGCATTTGAGTTTAAAAAAAAAAATAATCCCACCCCAACGTTTATTCCACTTTGAATTTTTAAATTGCTTTCACTTCTACTATAATTATGTGACTGTCCTTAACACTTTCAATACCATCTTTGGTTTTGCATTTATCTGACAAAAAACAAACAAACAAACAAAAACTCATGATAAGGTTAATCGTGTGTGTAAGCGTTGTTGTTATGTACCTTTGAGATGGACCATTAGCTAGACTAAAATGATTTCCTATGAGGGCTGATGCCATCTTTTGGTGGGAGAAATAAATGCACCTTTGTCTGATTTAGGTTTGCTGTCATCCACAAAAACTCCCAAGTAGAAAATTCTTATGAACTCTGAAAAAGGCTCCACAATTTGACAGAAATGTCCCTCAAAAACATCCAAAAAACTCTGACTTAATTCCATGCTCACCAAACAGTTTTCTGATTTATGTTTTGGAATTCTGTATGAATTTACTCATCAGGTAGGAATATGACCAGGTATAAAATAATAAAACAGCTTTCTGGTACGAATCAGAATTGAATAGAGTTGAATAGTGAGTAAGTAAGTGTCACAGAGCCTGACCACATAAGAATAAACTGACCACCGTGCTCTGCAATTTTGGGAGACCCAATACCTTCAAATGGGCTGATGCCACCAAAATACATTATTAGGATCAAAGTAGTACCAAACTGGCCTTTCGCAACAGAATTACAAAAAATCACCCAATGCACTCATGTTTATAAGAAGATTCCATATCACAGATCCCAAAAGTAATACTAAGAAACTAACTTTAAAATTGATTTTTGGCACAGGAGATACTAAAAATTGATTTCAGATCTCAGAACTTCCACTTCAACATATTTGAAACAGAAATATCCTGGTTCTAGTTTTTCCCTTGAGTTATACCTGTACATAGTTTACAATTAAGAGTTCGGAGAAAGAAAATAAGGAGAAAGGAGCATGTGAGATGCTGTTTCTGCTATGTAATGGTTCCCCCCTTGACCTATTTGGTGCTCACAATAGTACTTGATCAATGATGATTCACTAAAATTGGTTGGAAAATTTAACTAGAAAAATAGGTGTGATTCTAGTCAAACATGATAGGTCAACATACTGCATCATCAGTGATTTCCTACAAATAGCTATCTTCCTATTTCTCTTCTTTAGCTTTTAGATTTTATACATTTTCCCAATTTATAGAAAGTTCATATAAAGTGATTTAGAAATTACAATGTCAATTTATTCCTTCATTATCCTAGAAACACTGTACAAATTGTAAGGTCTAGATATAGTATTATACTGTGTCAACTAAGGTTAAGTATTTAGATATTGAGGTGATTTACACATCTTATTTGATCTCCCCAAATAAAATTTGATTCTTCCCTTCCTCCTAGAGTTGATTGATTAATTTTGTTTTTGATTGGATAGAGTAAAATGATTTAGGAAATGAATGAATATTATCTCTTTGCAAACACTAAGAATAGTTTTACAAGCAGTGACCTGAAAGAGTGACATTTTCATTTCTTTTCTTTTTTTCAGAATGAGGCCTTTTTCCTCCTTCTAACTCATTCTAAAAATATGTTGTCATAATGGGTTAAGATCAAAAGGAGTGTGATGAAATAGGACGTTTTTAATAAAAATGAGATAACTAAGGAACATACCTACCAAAAAGACCAGAAAGAACTATCTGCTTAATCAGGATACTGCCTTTTCCTGGATAGTTTTTGAGATGTTCTTTCAAATGATTATTTTTCAACTCTTTGGTATTCTCAATTATAATCAATTTGTCTTTATTATTATATCATCCTTCTTTTGGTTCCATTTGTAGATGTTATTCCCTAGTAATATGGAGATAGGCAGCTTAATTACACTGGAACAACACCTCCAGCCTCGAAAAAACATTTTAGGAAGGGCTATCCCTGAGAAGGTTTATTGTAGCAGCAAGTTTCTAGCCAGTGAATATGAATTTCCTGTCACTTGAGCAAGTGTACTTTTCTGCCCTGTGTCTGTTTTACTTTTTCCTGATGTTTAAATGTTTATTTAGGGGAGTCTGTTTTCCTTTTGGGCATTTTTTTTTTTTTAAATTGTGATTTGGGTTAAAGTTTACAGTGCAAATTCACTTTCCATACAGCAGCTCACATATATTCCATACAATGTCTCATGACATTGATTATAATTTTCCACAATGGAATAGCTCCCCTCCCACTTCCTCTCCATACTTACCTCTTCCCTGTGTCCTTCCCTCCCATGCACTCTTGCCCCCCGAGCTGTCTCCCTGTGCATTCACAGCCCTTCTATTCTCCCATGATTGAGCTCTCCAAGGAGTGCATACCTAACGTAAATGTTCAGCTCATATGCCTGTCTTATGTTTGGCTGTAAGTCATGGGAGTGGGTTCAATTCCAGACCTGAAGGGCAGCTAGGGGCCATAGTCTCAGTGGTTCCATCAGGCTCTCAGACCAGCAAAACTGGTCCCCTTTTTTTAAATTTATTTTTAATGATTTTGAGTTTTGTTCCACATTGTTCTCCCACTCTACCCAGGATTTCCTACGCAGATCCCATTTTGGGCTTTTTTAAAACATCTGTTCACTCACATGTTAAACATAAAATATTCTTACCTTGCCATAGCAATTCCAACAACACAGCCTCCAACTATGGACCAAAATCCAATCCAGCCAGCATCTACCTGTCAAGAAAGTGTGCAGATGATATTTAATATAACACTATCATGCTATAATTTAGAAAGAATAAAAACAACAAAGATCCTCTATAATCAAAATGTTTTAGCTAAATGACAACAAATCTAGGAAATGTTCACAGATGCCACTGAGTCTGTTTCAACTCATGTACAACAGAACAAAATACCACCTAGTCCTACAAATCAGAATCAAGTTGGTGGTAAGGGGTTTGGGGTTTTGTATGTTTGCTTGTTTAATCTAGGAAATACTATGTAATAAAATGGATAAAATGGAAGGATTTATGTGTGACTAATTAATATAAACAAGTATTTATGTCTAATAATTCCTTGATTAACTTTCTGTTGGGATATTTAAATCAATGAAATTATCAATGCCATCAAACAAGTATTTTTCAAGTGTGTATTACCTGCCTAGCATTGTATCAGAAACTCTCAAGAAAATAGGAAGAGCATAAAAGATGGGTCACAACCTCAAAAAGTTTAAATATAACAACACACACCAAACAACTAGCAAATAATTAAGTGCTAAAGTATCTGGCAATAAGGAAAAGTGCCTAAGAGATCAGAGAAGGGAGAGAGAAAAATGTGGGATTGTTGATGTGGGGAAAGTGGATACAGAAAGAGAACTTGAGCTGAGTTTCAAATGCAAAGCTCTCCTGCAAGAAAACTTTTCTAGTCCTGTCATTTACTAGGCATGTGAGCCTGGGAAAATTATGTCTTCTTATTCATAAAATGGATTAAATGAGGTACTTTATGTAGAGCACTTAGATCAGTGGCTGCCATACAATAAGGGCTCAAAAGATGTTAACTGTTTTACTACCTGATGATGCTTCCCCAAGTATCTAACGTCCTATCTCTTTTCTAACTTTATGGCTAAACCTCTCAGAGTAATCTATAAAACCCATCTACATTTCCTCATTACCAATTATCTTTAACTCTTATTATAACTTGGATTCTTTCCTAACTCACACTTAAAGCTTTAGTTTCCTCATAAGTATAATGCAGATAATAAAGTTTTTTGAAAATTATTGCTGTTGTTAGACATACACTATGTCTAGCATTCAATCAAAAATAGCCAGATATATAAGAAGAAATCATGAATGAATACTAAAGATAGAACAAGATCTATAAGGGATAAGGGATCTAGATAATGAAATTATGAATACAGACTTTAATTAACTACTTTAACAGTTTATAAAGATCAAAGATAAGATTGAGAAATTTGGAAACTATAAAAAAGACTCACATAATCCTTAAAGACAATGTTCTATATCCTGTGCTGGTGAGTAGTAAGTGGGGTCTTAAAAGCTTGTGAACGGCCATCTAAGATGCAACTATTGGTCTATCCCCATCCAGAGCAAAGAAAAGTGAAGAAACTCAAAGATACAGGAAGCAATTAGTCTAAAGGACTAATGTCATAGCTAATGTCAGATGGACTTTGGCTCAAAGCAAAGAATATCAGAAAGATGTTTACTTGTGTTTTATTGACTATGCAAAGGCATTCAATTGTGTGGATCACAACAAATTGTGGATAACATTGAGAAGAATGGGAATTCCAGAATGCTTAATTGTACTCATGAGGAACCTGTACATAGACCAGGAGGTTGTTGTTCAAACAAAACAAGGGGATACTGCATGGTTTAACATCAGGAATGGAGTGTGTCAGGGTTGTAGCCTTTCACCATACTTATTCAATCTGTATGTTGAGCAAATAATCTGAGATGCTGGACTATATGAAGAAGAACATGGCATCGGGATTGGAGGAAAGCTCATTGACAACCTGAGTTACACAGACAACATGACTTTGCTTGCTGAAAGTGAGGATAACTTGGAGCACTTAGTGATGAAAATTAAAGATTGCAGTCTGCAGTATGGATTATATCTCAATGAAAAGAAAATAAAAATCCTCACAATGGGACAAATAAACAGCATCATGATAGATGGAGAAAAGATTGAAGTTGTCAGAGACTTCATATTGCTAGGCTCAACAATCAGTGGCAATGGAAGCAGCAGTCAAGACATTAAAAGATGTATTGCATTGGGAAAATCTGTTGCAAAAGACCTCTTTCAAGCGCCGAAGAGCAAAGATATCTCCTTGAAGACTAAGATGCACTTAACCCAAGCCATGGTATTTTCAATCACCTCAT